CGAAAGATCTATCTAGAATGTTTAAAGAGAGTTCACTCATTTTAAGCAAACTCTCTAACAATATTTTTCAAACAGAATACAGACATGGTCACACAAATAGCACTTAGTGACGAATAGAAGCTCACTAGGCACTAAAATTGAACTGAGACTGAATTCAACATAATTGTTTGTAAAAATGCTCATAGTACTAGTTCTGATGTTTTACTAGCTTAGAAATAGATCTTGGCAGATAATAAGTCTGAGATTATAGTAAATTCCTATTTCAAAAAAATTCAAATCTCAAGTAATCACTATGAAACCCATCACGCTACCAACAAAAAACTCTGTAGCTTAGAAAGAAAAGCCTACCGCATGATCATTCCAGAGAAACTATTACTCACAAATAAAAAAGACTATCTTCAATGATACGTGTATGTTAGACACTCAGATGAGTCATCACTATTCCATAAAAAGTACAATGACAGACGATATATATGATATTGTATTGGACTGAGAAACTCATTTTCTCTTTCCGCAAGACTTTCAAAGGCTGTATGTCGAAATGGTCCTCCGATCGGTATGATTCCCTATGCCACTTCACTGATATTTATCTCAGAAATTCTATAAATGCATAAAAAATGAATAAATATCTCATATTTCGCAGCGTGAGATGCTACAAGAGTAATAGACGAAGAGTGAAGAATTTAGCACTGTGTAAGTTCTAATTCAAAATTACAACCATATCCAGAAAAGCTTGGAAACTAGGTTTTTCAACTTCGTATTACGCAATGACATGTTCTCTCGAAACTTGACTGCAGCATGATCACCTGAACTACCAAGATTCGTGATAACGGTCACGATGAACACTCACAATAGCAATTGACTGTTCAAAACAAAGAAAACACCACTGTAACGCGATCCTGACCAAAACCTATTGCTTGATCATGTGAAAGTTTATTGAGGAATCCTGTAGAACTTATTTTCGATACCAAACGAAGTATACCAAATAGATTTATTTACAGGATACCACGAAAGCTCACACTAAAGAGCATATAAAACGTGTTAAAAGATTTAATCTGATAGACTTATGAAGTATACGAGTTCGAGAAGCCGTAAAAGAAGAAGAAGAAGAAGACGAAGAAGAAGAAGAAGACAAAGAAGAAGAAGATTTGAACTACACTGTAGAAAAAATAAGCCAAATAATAAACGGAAAAGCATTTTTGGTAGTGTAGGGGTACAAGCTGATGCAACCATTCCACAACATGGCCTGTAACTGTGTATAAAATGTGCTTCGGAAAACTCAAGGCCTAAACACAGAGAAGAGAGGAAGACCTCAGCAGGCATAACACAAAAGATACATGCACTCAGGTTTCTGCCCTCCACCCAATAACAATCATTTTCCATACCTACAAGTATGCTGCATTATGTGGCACTGATCTCTATCACAGCAATTATCACACCCTCCTAAGCCGATTTCTCAATCGACAGCTATGTTCATAACGATATTAACATCGAAAACTATATATCTTCAAGCGAAGAATCACATCATTTAATTGAAAAAAAGAAAGAAAATTTCTTTCTTTTCAATCTAGTTTTGTAAGCGCATAAAGACTTGAAGAATTCTAATTTTAGCAGACAGCACATGATTCACCGACTGTTGAACGAAATTTCTCAAGGGTGACGCTGAAACGAGTGTCCAAGGCAAACAACGGCCGCCTCCGTTCGTCGAGTCAACCAAAAGCTATAAAAGAGCATGTTGATCGATTTCAAAATATAAGGACCAATCCTGACATAAGTTTTTTAAGATCATTATCGAGTGATGTAAAGTGTGAAATTCACCGAAAAGAAAGATAAACCGTGCTTGTCATTTAGAATTATAATGGCAGTGCATGGAATGGCACGGGTGGATACAGTAATGTCCGCATAGGAGTGCCGTACACTACAATCAATAAGGCTGGTGTACATTACTCAACTTCGCCAAGTGACTCTTCCAATCACCAAGGTTCTGCAACAATATTTCCCGTATGTTTATTTAAATTAGATCAATACGAAAAATTGTCTAAGAAATTATCACGTCATGGATACTCGAAAAAGAATTTTAAAAGTTTATCAATTATTTTAGAGCACTCACTTGTAGGTAGACTATACAACTTCTTTTCTAGAAATGCATTTAATATCAGAAATTTTCACTCTCCTTTGATGATGAATTTCTAGATTATCAGAGGTTTACTACTGAAGTTTATCATTAACATACGCAGATCCAAAATTAAAAATTCCATGTCAGAATATTACCTGAATTTTGCATCGATTTGATTTTGTGAGCAATTTACGACTGCTTCTTTTCTGATTCAAAACCTCTTGCCCTGTGCTGTCTTTTAATTAAAGAAATTCATTTGAATTTTCAGTACTTCCGAAAACTTTTCTCAATCATAAACCACATAATCTAGAAACTCTGAAAGATTTCTCAGTTATTTCAGAAATTACTATGAACAATACAATAGTTTACCAATACCGATCGATATGTAGCAGATTGACAATCAGTAGACTATTTGCGAACACAGATAAACTCCCATTAGGCGTTGAACTATTCGAAAAACTCTGTTGGTTAAAAAAGTTTTCAAAGGAAATGAAAGCTGATCGAATGAAATGCATACACCGATTTAGTCAGCCAATTACAAATTTAAGTATAATCAACTTAGTTACTACTCTAGTAGCCGAATTGAAGGTGCCGTAAAAAGATATGATTGTCGAAGTATTTTAGATGATGCTATTTTTCTAAACATGCGTATATTTCTGAACCGAAGGCGACTCTTAGAACTAATCTTTAATCATATGCATTTAATCTTGACAGGCAACAAGAAGTCCATTGAAATCCGATTTATGGCCGACTTATGTTACTTGGAGTCCCCGATCAAAATTCGCTTACGGAGACAGATATTGTACTTATGGTAATTCTGAAAAGGATTCAGTGAAAGAAGATCGGTAAGTACAAAGGCGAATATGAGTTATCACTTCATCAATACCCATCTCTCATATTCGGTTTTTCTCGTCTAGTCGAAAGAAGAAACGCAGGCGACGAGTAGCCTGTATTCCTGCTTGGTTATGTTGCCTATGTTGTCTTTGCTGCACTGTTCTAGCAGCTGTCATTGGCGTAGCACTTTATTTTGCTTTGCGTAAGTATTTTTGTTGTTATTTTTGTCAAGAAGTAGCATCCAAAACACCAAAAAAAAATTATCAACAACTTGATAGGAATCTCAAAATTATTGACGTACCAGCTCTTACGAGAAGAGTGGCCTGAATATAGAATTGATGTTTTCAGTCATTTCCTTTCTCCTAAAAAAATGATCTTAGCGGGACTTAGATTAGATATTATGTGAAAAGATGGCTGTGCAGCTTTACAAGTAATTTACGAAGAAAAACAACCTGCTTAAAATATTTTTGATGGAATACACTTTTTGACATAGATTGCAAGAGTTGTATTTACTTTGCTTCCAATTGTGTTATGAAAATCTAGATCGATAAAATGTTCTCTTTCTCTTAAACATAAGACGAAGATGTAAATCCTATTTTGAAACGAAAGTTCTTGTTTCATGCGGAATTCAAAACTGCACAGAATATGTGAAATTAAGCTTTGAAATCTCTGCTTCTGCAACATAGTTGAAGCAACACTATGGTACGGTAGATATTTTTCACTGAGAAAAGCAAACGCTTTTGATTAATAGTGACTTCATGAAACTTAAAGATATTAAGTACTAGAGCACATTTAGACAGCTGTTTTGCTCAGATTTTAATTATCTATCACTGATGACACAATATGAAGCATTTTGAATGATATGTTGAATAGCTTTTCGAACAAAGAGTATTAGAAAATAAAGTTTTGGGTTTGGTTGGTTTTGAACATGGTGAAGGTTTGAGTGAACAAAAGAAAGAAGAATATTTATCGTGTGCCTCTTCTCTTTGATGCTTTGACGAATATACTGGTAAGAACTAGAGTTGGACATCTCTACTCTTTGAAAAAAGGAATTTTGTTGAAGAAAACGGAACTGTAAATATTCTTTTCAAAAGCCCCAAACTATAATATGTAATCTTTCTAAAAGTTTAGTGTCCAATGATACTGAACAAGTCAAGTAATGATTAAGTCACAATCGAAAATAATGAAAATCATCAATCTATTTTAATTTTAATTTTACTCCAGAATAATTTGATCAGAATCAGCGAAATGTTTTCAATCAGAGCTTTTTTGGTGAGTTCTGCAAAACTCCTTTTTTTGTTAGAGAGTAGGAAGAACTAGAATTAGTTACACCCTAGCTTATTACAAATAAAACAGTTCGAATGTTTCTCAGAAATCCCTGCATTTTTTCAATAGGATAAAAACAGTCAACATTTCGCTAATGCTTGAAATAAATGCTCGAAAACTAAGTATCTTTGATTCAGTTTATGTAGATATTTTCGATTTTTTTCATGGGTTCGATCCTTGAAAAGAATTATAATCACACCACGAACAAAAATAGCAAGAATGTTCACACATAAGAATGAATAATATTTCAAGCATGTTGAATCTACAGATCTGCTAAAGAATTCGAATACTTAGAGAATGATAAAGAATATACTTTTCGATTGTGTTCAGAAAATGTATACGTTTCAAAGAATATGGCATAACCCATAAGTTGACTGGTCAATGCAACAACGTTGGTAGAGTAATAAATTCTTCAACGTAGAAGAAAACTGTATAATAGTGAAAGTAATACTTTTTCAACAAGTCAGAAACATACTACTGACAGCAAATTAATATCGTTTTTAGTGAATGAAAATATTAATTATCACAGTAATCACAATCATAACGATAACTCATCTTTGCGACCGCTAGTCAAAGGGTTGCTAACCAAAGCTCTCTAGTCACTCCAGTCTCAGTGAGACGAATTTTTTGTCGAGTCAAAATTATCTTGATCTAATAAAAAGAAATCTTCTTCTGTAATCAAGAGGGGGGAACTATAACGACATCGACATCGACATCGACAACTTCAACAACTGCGACAACAACAACGACAACCACCACGACGACAAGAACAACGACAACGATGACGACCACCACTACAACCACAACCACAACGACGACAACAACGACAACGACCACCAGCACCAGCACTACAACAACAACAACAACCACAACGACAA